AAATCTCATGACACCCACCATGTTTTCACCTGGCAAGTAATTCTGGCACAGTTATCACCCACACCCAAACCTTTCTTTCCAGAATGTAACACTGTGATTTGCTTTAGTCAGGGTTGTTATTCTTACTGGGGGAGCTATGACTGGGATAAAAAAAGGTAATTAAGCCTACCAAGAAAGGCTCATTTTGTTGGCGGGCTATAAGCCTAGGATTTAGGAACAATAGATGGGACAATGATGTGGTGTTTGGGAGCTGTTTTGCTTTGATCGGGGTATCATTCATAGGTTGAGCACAAAGCTATTTTCACTGATAGTTAAACATTTGGCAATTGCTGATCAGTAACAATGAACTAGATGTCCTATTGAAATACCATGGCTCAGTAGGCAGAACATCGATTGAATTAGAGTGTAAAAATATTTGTGTCTAAATGTGTCTATTTTGCTATTGATTGGCCTTGTGAATTTGTTTTTATCCTTCAGTATTTTGGTATATGTGTGTATGTGTATCTGTATTGGTTTGCTCAAGGATGTAGATGCAGGAGATAGGATATCTTTGAAAAGATGAGTTTGAAATATGATAACTTATAACATGTAGAGGATTAACCTAAAGAGGTGGTCACCATTTTTTAAAAATTCAGCAAACAAAAATGATAAAGAATATGAGAAAGCTGAATCATAGTGTACATATATGTAAAGATAGTTGGGAAAGAGTATTTGAGATGTTTGAGAGCTCTGTCTTAAGAAAAACAACAAAAGATAATGTGAAAATGTAACAAAGGATAGTTAACTTATAGATTTGCTAGTCTATTATATATTGCTTTACTTTTACAATCTTTGGATAGTTTTAGCTACACAAGTTTAGTTCTCTGGGTTGTTAATCCATATTGCCAGTTTCTAAACTAAATTCAAGGCTATATTCTTTGAACATGTTTTCCAACATATTAGGACTTTGTACAGTACATTTCTATTTTCCTATTTGGGATAAGTGCATGTCCTCTGGTAGGAATTTGTCTTCAGAGTGTGTGTGTGTGTGTGTGTGTGTGTGAGAGAGAGAGAGAGAGAGAGAGAGAGGGAGAGAGAGAAAGAGAGGGAGAGGGAGGATAATTTGATCATTAATTATTAGGCAACTATTTTCATGTACCTTCATTTAAGAACAAAGATACAGGTTAAATGTAAATTAGCTGATACCGGGAGTAAGATGGCTAGACAGTGATAATTCCTGAATCCTTCTAATCAGGCATATTTAAGGGTATACAAGGAGTAATCCTGCTAAGAGGTTTTCATGAAATAGGAGAATCTGTTTTATCAATAAGCTAAACTAATATTCTCTTTTGTTGCTTACTTGCCATAGCTCAAGTTTAAACCCCCTGTTCTAAAATGCTTTCCTCTGATTGTCATCAATAGACCTAGTTCCAGTTTTATTTATTTCCTGTCACCACCTCTATTTGGGAGATGCTACGGTTCACTGCTTCTCATCCTGCCCTCAGTGCCTGAGTATTCTGCCCTGGGTCTCTGCCATACTGAAGTATAGAAGCATATTACATACCTTTTTTCCCCAGAAAGAGTAAGTTCTTAAGCTTTCATTAAAATATACCCTTTCCTTGGGTAAAAACTTTAATTGGATAATGTTTTCATGCAGGGCTGGTGTCAGGCTCATTTGACCTGTGCAATTTCAACAGGCCCCATGATTAGAAGGACTCTGTCCTCAGTTTCATTCTATAGTGTCTTACAGATTTAATAATTTTTGAATAAGAAGACCCATATTTTAATCTTTAACTACTTTCTGAAAATTATACACAGTAATATCAGTCTTGTATCAAAATGGCATTAATCTGAGATGCATAAGGTTATCGGATCACTTTAATTATATCCATTCCACTAGAGGTGAGAACTCAAAGCTTTGCTCATTGTATGGATCATTAATGGTTTACAGAAATGCTGTGTTTCATCTAAAGATTTTAAGCATTCACTCTTCCCCACAATGGGACACAAACTGCAAATAGTAAGGACCTTCTCATACCAGTAAAATAAATGTTAAAAACTCTGATACCAATGCTTTTACTTTATGATAATAAAATCTGAAAGAAATCTGAAGAAAGGCAACGATTTTGTCAATAGGTGTACTAATTTACCTCAATTTTAATACTGTGTCAGATAATGGACTAGCTTTAATAGAAATCTCTTAGGAAATGAAAAGCATGCATCATATTTTAGTTTTAAAGTACTACTGGAAGAAATCATAATATACTGAATAGTGGTATTACAGTTATTTGAAGAAATAGAACCAAAGGATACATATACATATATTAAAAATTTACTATAGGAAATAGCTCACGTGATCATAAAGGCTTAGAATTTCCTGAAATGCTATCTGCAAGCTGGAGAACCAAGAGAGTGTGTTGTAGAATAAAACTAAGTCAAAAAGCTGAAAATAGGGAGAGCAAAGGTGTAACCAAGAATCTGAGGTCAAAAGATTAAAAACCTGGTAAGACACCACTGATGTAAGTACTGAAGTCTGTAGACCTAACATAATCTGTGATGTTTGAAGGAAAGAGAACATGGAAGTTACAGCTCAAGAGAAGAGAATAATTTAGTCATCCTATTTTTGGTCTAGTAGGGACATGAACAGATTGAATGATGCTCACCAAAGTAATGAAGGTTGATCTACTGTCTTCAGTCTATAGACAAAAATATTTTCCAAAAACAAAACTACAGGCAGTCTCAGAAATATTATATGCCACCTGACCAACAATTCCTTAATTGAGTCAAGCTGGTAATTACAGCAAAAAGTTAATAAGCACAGTGCTCAAAACATCAATAACTTAGAAAATTTTAGATGAAAAGAGGTCGAGATCAAGCTATCACAGAGGTTGCAGTCTCAGAATCTCCAACAAATGACTAAGAACAAAGGCATCCATTACAGAGGGACATGACTCCAACAGCTAGGGTGTCCTTCATAGAGGAGGTAAAGGTGTCTGGGATTCATCATCTGACAGAGCCAAGGTCACGCCAGGACACGGGAAGTTGGTCAGGTTCATCAAAGGAAAGAGCCACAAACCCTGCTCCAACCCTGATCTGGGATGTTCCAGTCTCCAGAAGTGTGAGAAAATACAGTGGCGTGGGTGAAGCCATCCATGATGTGAGGTCTTGCGGAAGAAAGGCGAGTACAGTGAGGAAACTGACTCTAGAAAGAGGGCATTTATATGATCCTAAGGGATAAGTATTCTTGTCCTGATTCTTAAGTTCTTGACTTTGGCCCAAAAGAGGCGACAGTGGGGGTACCCGCAGGACAACCTGCTCACAGAGGAATCTGCGTTTGAAACTGCTGGAAGTAAGCAGCCACAATGCCCGACATGGTATTGGGAAGAAAGGTCAATGAATCGTGTCTGGTACCTCCAGACACAGGATAAGGAAGTCAGTCATCAGATCAAGACCAGAGCAGCAAGCAGAATTTCAGAGGCATGATTACAGAGGGAAAGCAACCGATGGGGAAATGGTCACAGATCTCAGCCATCTTTGCTCCATCAGGCTGACGGGCCTACCTCATGCCCCAGACCACACCAAGTTAACAGACCAGTATCTTAATGCTCAGATTTTCTTTCACCCTGATTCCCATACGCAGGCTGACGGGCCTACCTCATGCCCCAGACCACACCAAGTTAACAGATCAGTCTCTTAATGCTCAGATTTTCTTTCACCCTGATTCCCATAAGCAGGACTAGTAGTGTCTGCCCTGGAAGGAAGTGAGTCATCAGGCCAAGTCCGGAAGGGCGGGTTGAACTCCAAAGGGATACGTACCACGGGGAAGGAACCAACAGGGAAATGGCCACAGATCTCAGCCGTTCCAGGATAGGGACACTTGGGAGAGACTTAAGCCCTGGCGACCCTGAAAACCTCTACGGAGGCCAGGGATTTGGACAGAAGGTTGGACCAGGCGGAGCAGGTGGAGGTCAGAGACAGCCCATTCCGTCCCAGCCTGGCTCTACTGGGGGATGTGTGCCACGGAATAGAGCTCAGGGAGGGCGACTCCTCATGGCAGTGATGGACCTTGCAGAAAGAGGATGTGTAGAGGTGGCTTCTTCCCGAAGTGAACGTCTGTACCCACCCCCACCCACCCCCACCACAGCCACTCTACTTCTGGGTTGGATGTCTTGATCAGGATGGCAGGGGAAGGTTCGCCTGGGTGGGGAGTGGATTTGTATGGCTGGTGTTGGGGAATACGAGGGAGAGAAGCAGGAGGGTGTTGAGAGGGGAAGGGAGTGGGAGGGGGTCTGCTTCTGCCCCTAGGCAAACTGAAGAGCATTTCAGAGCAAGATGGAAGCCTCCCCCATAGGCCTGCCGACCTATTTTCATGTCTGTGCCTTGGGGGAGAGGATGGTCTGGGGCCACCCTGGAATGGCAAGAAAGTCTCCCAGAGTAGTGAAGTCTCTGGGCTTTCTGGATTCGCCATCACCCTAAAAGCCAGCCAGTCTGTTCTGAGCAGCAGTGGAGAGAGGATTTGGGCTGCTGGGCTGGCTCCTGGAAGGTTTTCAAAAGACAGCTTTGAGAGACAGGTCTTCTGAGGACATGTCTACATTTCCATCGTGGCCCAAGATGAAGAGTTCAGAAACTTTGAGGCAGGAGGAATCCTGGGAGACTGCCGGCAGCCCGCCAGCGCCTGCGGCCCAGGGAGGCACACCCTGGCCCCGCCCCTTGCCTGGGGCAGTGGGAGGAGCCCAGCCCCCGCTGTGCGGGGCTACAGAGGAATCATCTGACTTCCGGATGGGCGTGGCTTCAGGCCGAGCCTTATATAAAGGAGCTGGGGCTAGGCACGTTTCAGGCGGATCCTGCCGCTGAGGGGATTGTTTATGAGGGTGTTTTTTGCTTCAGGCTCAGCAGCAGGAAGGGCCCAGGGCTCTGGCTTTCTGAGCTAGGGTCTTTGACCCAGCGCTGGGATGGACAAGGCCAGGGCGTGGCTACCGGACCTAGGTCTGGACCTGGGTGTGTCGCGGGAGGCACCAGGCATGCCCCTGGGACCGAAACCCAGAGACCCAGGCCGAATCCTGCCGCGGGACCCAGCCCAGGAAGCCCGGGAAGCCTCTGACGAGGAAGGCGGTGAGCTTGCGCGTCAGGACTGCCCACAGCCAAGGTCAGGTGAAGAGGTGGACTCCTCCTCACGTCCCCCTGTGGCCAAGAGACGGAAAGTGGACACCAAGGGCGAGAGAGGCAGGCAACGGGAAGTGGATGAAGAGGAGGCCCAGAAGATGAGAAGCCTTGTGGCTGCTATGAGCCCGGAGCAGCTGAACCGTTACCAAGTGTTTCGCTGCTCAGCCTTCCCCAAAGCCACCATCAAACGTCTGATCCAGGCCGTGGCCGGCACGCCGGTGTCCCAGAACGTGGTCATTGCCATGTCTGGAATGGCCAAAGTCTTCGTTGGGGAGGTTGTGGAAGAGGCCCTAGACATGTGTGAGAAGTGGGGCGAGAAGCCCCCACTCCAACCCAAACATCTGAGGGAGGCTGTTCGCAGGCTACGCAAAAAGGGGCAGATGCCCAGCACCAAGCACAAGATCCTCTTCTAGGCTTGAGTCCAGAAGGGCCTGTTCCTGAGCAACCCGGCCCTCTGGCCGACCAGCCTCTTAACCCTCAGACTTCCTTTCACTGCGTTCCCCATACTGCATCCCTGCCCCATCCCCGAGGCAGCTCCTGCATCCCGAGGACATTGCCACCAGGATGGGACTTCACTAGCATGGATCAACTGCGTCAAAGGGGAGAGAAGACATCCAGCACAACTCGAGCTGTTCCTTTGAAAAGACCAGTAACATGCAGAAGCGTCTCTCGTCTGGAGGCATGCTGGGGAGAGACCCGAGACCCAAAGTCTAATTCTTTGAGAGACACGACCTGCCACATCTCACCCGTGAGAACAGACTTGCCTGTTTACCAGAGAAGCTGAATCCATACACTGTAACCATGCCTGACTGGGAATGGTGGGTTCCCAGCCCACCAGGCCCTGGTGGGTTTACTCAGGGAATTCTAGCAAAGCCATCCAGCTGACATATGAACACCTCTGTGATATGCCGTCCAGGAGCCGGAAGCCCAAGAAATTCTTTCAAACTCACTGTGCATGGGAAGCCTTGGTGTTCCTCCGCGGAGGCAAGACCTTCCCAGGGGACACCAGACGACGATCACGCGGAGAGACGCCAATGTGCTTCAGTGCCCTTTAGCCAACCACGTCTGGCCGTGGGTAAGAGGAAGCCTAGGCTCTGGAAGTAACGGGATGTTTCCCAGGCGTCCGGGTCTGGCTTGGCCTTCAACGGCCTTTGAATGGGATCCCCAAGCCATCCGCGGTCCCAAAAGGAAACCTCACAGAATTCTTCCGTGGGTGGGGGTGGGGGTGGGGGTGGGGGTGGGGGTGTGAGATCTCAGTCTTTGACCAAGTCCCCCACTCACCAATTCGTTATCACATTTGGGCAGGCGGGGCCAGGCGAATGGATTAAGACCCTCTTACGAAGAACCAGAGCTAAGAGCCTCTCACCAGAAGGGTGAGGAAGCAGCATAGCTCTCCCAGTAGACATCCGGGAAGAGGCAAGCCTCTGTCTTGTCCACACGCGGTTGCTCCATTGGGCCGGTGGGCCTAACTCATGCCCCAGGTCACTCCAAGTCAAGAGACCAGGAGTTCAGATCTGGAAAAAAGTCTTCTGTCCTCGGCAGATGGCCGATCAGAAAGTCAGGGCCTCTTGGACCTTCATTCCCTTGGCATCTTCATTCCCATGGGGGTCCTTCTACCTTGAGTTTCTCTCAAAGAGGGGGTACAGTGTGTGGTTCCACAGGACATGCTGTGCACACAGGACTCCCACCTCGAATCTGCCTTCCAAAGTGCTGGAAGTCAGCAGAAACCAAACTCCCCTCAGAGCCTGGGGATGAAAGGTGAATGGATCGTGAGTGGCAACTGCATAAGCAGGACTAATACGGTACGCACTCGAGGGAAGTGAGTCATCAGGCCAAGTCCGGAAGGGCAGGTTGAACCCCAAAGGCATACTTACCATGGGAAAGGAACCAAAGGGGAAATGGCCACAGATCTCAGCCGTCCCAGGATACTGACACTGGGGAGAGACTTAAGCCCTGGTGACCCTGAAAACCTCTACTGAGGCCAGGGATTCGGACAGAGGAATGGTGGACGAGGAGAAGTAGAGAGCAGGTGGAGGTCAGAGACAGACCATTCCTCCCCGGCCTGGCTCTACTGGGATGCATCTATCTGGATGTGTGTGTCGACTTGGGAAGCTTTGTGAAAACTCCAGGGAATAGAGCTCAGGGAGGGCGATTACTCATGGAAGTGATGAACCTTGGGGGAAGAGGATGTGTAGAGGTGGCTTCTTCCCAAAGTGAATGTCTGTACCCTGCCCACCCCCACCATAGCCACCCTACTTCTGGGTTGGATGTCTTGATCAGGATGGTAGGGGAAGGTTAGGCTGGGCAGGGAGTGGATTTGTGTGCCTGGCATGGGGGAATAAGAGGGAGAGAAGCAGGAGGGTGTTGAGAGAGGAGGGGGGATGGAAGAGGAAGGGGGGTACTGATTGCTTTTTCCCCCTGGGAAAATTGAAGAGCATTTCCAGAGCAAGATGGAAGCTTTCCCCATAGGCCCACTGACCTATCTTCATGTCTGTGCCATCGGGGAGAGGATGGTCTGGGGCCACCCTCGAATGTCAGGGAAGTCTCCCAGAGCAGTGAACTCTCTGGGCTTTCTGGATTCGCCTTCACCCCACAAGCCAGCCAGCCTGTTCCGAGGAGCAATGGAGAGAGGATTTGGGTTCTTGGGCTGGCTCCTGGAAGGCTTTCAAAAGGCAACTTTGAGAGATAAGTCTTATGAGGACACGTCTAGATTTCCATCGTGGCTCAAGTTGAAGGGTTCAGAAGGAAGGAATCCTGGGAGACTGTGCCGCCCAGGGCAGCACCCCGGCCCTGCCCCTTGCTTGGAGCAGTGGGAGGAGCCCAGCACCCCCTCCCCCCTCCCCAGCTGCGCAGGGTTGGCTGAGGGGATTACCGACTTTTGAGTGGGCGTGGCTTCAGGGCCCGACCCTTATATAAAGGGGCCGGGCCCAGGCTTAACTCAGGGAGATCCTTCCTCTGTGGATGCTGAGGCTGAGGGCATTTCTTTCCCACTGATTTTGCCTCAGGGAGGACCCAGGGCCTGAACTTTCTGAGCTAGCGGACTTGGTACCGGCGTTGGGATGGAGAAGGCCAGCGCATTTTGGAAGCACCAGGTGTGGCCCCAGGCTCGGACCCCAGCCACCCAGGCTGTATCCTGCCATGGGACCCAGCCTAGGAAGCCAGTGAGTCTTCTGACGAGGAAGGTGAGGAGCTCAGGCGTCAGGACTGCCCGCAGCCAAGGGCAGGTGAAAAGGTGGACTTTGCCTCACGTCCTCTTGTGGCCAAGAGACGGAAGAAAAGTGGACACCGAGGGCAAGAAAGCCAGGCAACGGGAAGTGGACGAAGAGGAGGCCCAGAAAATGAGAACTCTCGTGGCTGCTATGAGGGAGCAGCTGAACTGTTATGAAGTGTTTCGCTGCTTAGCCTTCCCCAAGGCCACCATCTAACATTTGAACCAGGCTGTGACTGGCACGCCCGTGTCCTGATTGTAATCATAGCCATGTCTGGAATGGCCAAGGTCTTCGTCGGGGATGTGGTTGAAGAGGCCCTGTTCCTGTTTGAGAAGTGAAGCGAGACGACTCCGCTCCAACTCAAGCATCCGAGGGAGCCTGCATTCGCAGGCTGGGTGAAAAGGGGCAGATGCCCAGCACCGAGCACAAGAAGGTCCTCTTCTTCTAGGCCTGAGTCTGGAAGGGCCTGTTTCTGAGGAACCAGACCCCGTGGCTCACCAGCCTCTTAACCCTCAGGCTTTCATTCCACTCATGTCTCCCACTTCTCACCCATCCCTGAGGTCATTTCCATACCCTGTAACCTTCAGTTTGCCCAAAGAATGAAACAGTATGTGTGCTCACAGGACAAACTATGAGCACACATAAGTTCGGTGCTAGAATGTTCCAAATTTTGGAATCATTTGTTACCCGGTGCATCCTGGGGCATCAGGAAGAAAGATCATCAAACCAGGGAGTGGTACGTTCGGATCGGGTTAGGAGACAAGTAGTGTGGGCCCTCGGAGGAGATGAGTCGTCTGGTCAAGGTGAGATCTGCCAGTTAAGCTCCAAAGGCAAACGCTCCAAGGTTACTAAACCAGTCTGTGGTTGCAGGCACCCCATTGCTGTCCCTGGCCAACTTGCATGTTAGTTATGTTCACAACCCGAACAATGCTTTTTCATGGTTGCTTGCATGACCGTTTCATCAGTTATTGCGCTCTTCTGTTTTGCTGAGTTGCATGGAAAATGACCTAATGCAGAGGGTCTTGTTTTTGATGGCGAAGACACTTTGTAGCTCTATCTTTCCCCACAGAAGTACAATATAATATAGAATGGTAGAAAGTCCTCTACTGTTAGTGCTTAGTTGGAACTGAATGGTGGTGAGACCCGTGGCTTTTCACATAGTTTGCCTTGGATGGAGGAGGTGGTTGAACTGAACTGGGATTTGCTTTTTTTCTCTGCAACGTTTGTGCTACCACATTAGTTCTGTTTGCTGAATATAATCCAAATAATAAAGAGATGTGAATGATTATATGAGATAGGGAATAGAAAGCAGATTCAATGGGATCAAGGAAAGACCTTTATACTGGTGTTTCAAAGACTGAGACTGGCATGAAGTGTCATTATCTTCCTTAATATAGTGGCCAAGAAAAAGCACATTATGCAGTTCCTTATGTGCAGATTTTAAAACACGAAGTTTATTATTATTATTTTCTGAGGTAATCCATACAGCTTGCATCTACTCAAACAAATGTTTTAGACCATTGATATTTATCTCTTGCATACAAATCTGTCCTTTCTTGAAGGAACATTTGTTGATAATTTGCCCAGACTAAGCACTGAGGATACAATATAAATAAGATATGGTTAAATAATGATTTACGAGGATACTGTATTCAAGTAGCATGTAAAAGATAAATTGCATATATATTGCAACAAGCATTAAAGTAGAGGTATGGATAAAGGATTGTAGTTCAGTCATAGAAGGATGGAGTAACTGCTTCTGCTTGCTATTTGATTTTGTGGGTGAAGTCGGAAGAGTCAATGACTGAAAGGTAGAGAAAGGGGAGATAATAGAAAAGAATGTTCCCGCAAAGAGAGAGACCATGTATAGCCATAGCACAGTGTGTGGGAGTGGAGTGATAGGAGAGATCCACCTCCAGAGGAAAGATGGAGGTTGATGATGATGATGGGGCATTCGGCTAAAATATGAGTGGGTAAAGAGGTGCTGGAAAAGACTCCCAAGAGTTCCTTGAACAACAGGGAGGTCAAACCAGTCAATTTTAAGGGAAACCAACCCTGAATACTCATTGGAGGAGCTGATGCTGAAGCTCCAGTATTTTCATCACCTGATGGAAAGAACCCATTCACTGGAAAACACCCTGATGCTAGGAAAGATTGAAGGCAAAAGGAGAAGAGGGCATCAGAGGATGAGAAGGCTGGATGGC